CATCAGCACTGAGGGAGAGCGGAGGTCCAGCTATGGGGAGGCGGAGGGAGGGCAAGCAGGTGAGAAGAAGCAGGAAGATGTGGGATAGGCCAGGAGCAGTATGGGGAGACTGTTGAGCACAATTGTTGCCAATTTCATACTTTTCCAGGCAGCATTCTTCCAAATCTTCTGGCTGTTTATTGGCTGCCTTTTCCAGTGGTCATGACCCTTAGTAGTAGAAGCATTATATTCCACTTACAAGTTAGGAAGGTTTTTTATTGTCCTGTTTTCAGTAAAGAAGAATATCTTGTCACAACTTTCTTCAGAATAACCCTTTGGATGCTCCAAGTGTTAATGGCCTTCAGTCCCCCAGGTCAGATATTATACTTCTGTTGACTTTTCCTCTTGTGTCTTTCTTTCCAGTTTTTCTTCAAGCTCTGTGTTCTTGATATGGGCTCTCTAGGATTGACTCCTTGGATACGTGCCATTGTTAAGGTCTGGCCAGCACTGAGTGTGATGGGAAAGTGGTTTGCTCAGACCTTATAAGAACAGTATACCAATAAAATGTTTTAGTTCTAGGACTAATTCTTAAACTAAAGTATTCCTGTACATTCTTGTAGCACATGGCAGTTTATAAAGTACTTTTACACACATTATATCATTTGATTTCACAAGCTGGGAGGTGGGCAGAAATCATATTCCCTTTTTGGAAACAAAGAAACTGAGACCAGGGTAAGTGACTTGCCCAATGCTATACAGTGAGCACTGGGGGATGTGAGACGAGAGTCAGGGTCTCCTAGGACCCCAGGACATCCCATGTACAGTCCACATTCCCAAAGCAGGGTTAGCTCGATATCTGTCATGGTCTCCTGCACCCAGGAGGCATGGAATAAGGGAAAGAATGTAACAGCAGTCCTGCACTTGAATGTTGGCCTGTGACTTTAGACACGGTCATCTAGTCCTTCCGTTTTCAGATTCCTCATATACCATGGGGCTGATACCATTGTATTTTAAGAAGGAAATGAGAGGCTCCAGGCATACTGGAGGCATTCAGTAAGCATTGGTTTCACCCTCTTTCCCTCCTCTTGTCTAATACATACTATAAAAGTGGCCTCTCATTACTTTAAGTATGGTCCTTTTAAGCAATAGCTGTGTTATTGGAAAAGTAAGGGTACAAATTGAATTCTGCTAAATCAGATTGTATTTTAAATGCATGGGATTTAGCTATTTAAAGGAAACCTGTGGTGAATTCTTTTGTAATGCAAATAATCATCTTCTAATTTATCTGTTGAGTAAGATGAGCTTTTTGTGTATCAGATTTTCTTAATGTGGGGCTTGCTTGCATAAAAGCTTCACAGCCCTCTCTCACTGATGGGAAAAAAGTCACTCAGCTTGCAAACAAAATCAGTTATTGTGTTCAGTTTTGGCAAAGCCTTGCTCTGATGTTTGAGCATAATCTCATATTCCCTTATTAGTAAATAGTAGTATCTTAGAATGGGAAGCTGGAAGACACCTTAGAGATCATGTGGTCTATCTCATTCATTTCACAGATGAGGAAATGGACATGTTCGGTGTCATCAGCCATTGACAGTCAGGCAAGGATCCAATTCCAGGCCTCTGTTGCTGGGAGAGAGCTCCGTCTGCCCCATCCCCACTCTGCCCCCACCAAGAATCTATGGCCATGCACACATGTTGCAGCATGGGAGATGATACAGAAATACGCGTTTTCGCAAACAACCAAAAAAAATTGCAAGTGTGGGCAGTTTTAGAGTTGACAACAATATTCTGCTTAACCCTTTCATTAGAGAGCTGAATGGAAGGCAGCATAACGATGCTACTTTGGCTTTTTTATGAGGAAAAAATTACAGTTCTTGGCCAAGAAACTCCTCAGTGAGGATTTCACCATATTATATCTTAATTGCACTTGCCGAGTGCTGGAGGAAGACATGATGGCAGACCCAGAGAGACCCTGTGTGTGTTGGTGAGTTTGTTCCCACTGGCCTCAGGTTGGCCAGGAAGCCTGATCTGAAGCAGAGGTATTTGGACAAACTCCACTGGATGTTCTCGACCCTTTGAGAGATTCAGAAATCAACCTTCCAGAAATGCCCCCAGATTGTCCCTTCCTAATTCGTACATTATTGTTCTTAAAGAGTTAATCATTCAAGATGTACACGTTTCTGAAAGATTCCAGTGTAGTGGCGGGGCTCTCACCCTTGCTTGTGCTGCCACAGCCAGTCTCTGTAGCACTGAGGCTTTTTCAAAGGACAGGATCCACTTTAGGGGCCCAAGGATTTTGGCAGCTCTGCCACTTACTAGCTTAGGGCTTGGAGCAGTACTCAACCTCTCTGAGCCTTCTTTTCTCATTTATACAATAGCTAACGATTGATGCATGAAAATCATTGAGATACTGTGTTAGGTACTTGAGAGTTTGGTACAGAGAAGGTACTTAGAAAATAAAAGGAAGCAGAATCCAGTCTCTGGCCTGTGAGGAGCTGTCCTTCCCATTGGCTTTCCAGAAAACAGCTATAAGGGAGCCATTGGGCCTGCCAGTGGAAAGGCTAATGACTTATGATGTACATCAGGGAGGGAATGAACAGGAAGGGCATCAGGGTTCATGGTTAAGCATCCCCAAGGGGCCTCGCAACCATTCCCTGTGGGCCCAAAATAGCGCAGGGTGTGTGCTCCTTCAGAGGTGGATTTCAGGACTGCAGACCTCACACCTCCTTGAAGAAGTCCAGCAGCACAAGTGAGGTTTCTACCAACCCCCAGAGGAAGGTCTGTTTGAGAGAAAAGCTGTTTTACTTTAAATCAAACACAGAACATGAAGTAGAGCTATTTAGATCTATAGCACAAGAAGGTCATTATTTCTTTAAAACTCATTGACTCCAACTAGGATGAATTTAGATTAAAGCTCACAAGAATTGTAGAAGAGCAAGACTAGGCAATGTAAAATTATACAATGAAACACAATTTAGGTAGTTTTCCCCAAACTTTGAAATATATTTATCCTTAGAATTTAAAAGGGAAACTAAACCTTCCAGCCATCAAGAGTCTATGGTTTTTGTGACAATGTATCAGATTTTGAACTAACTGTAATATTTAAATATTTTATAAGTAGCTCTGATTTTATTTTTTAAGTGACAAACAAAATTCAGCAAAAAACCTCACCAACTGGGCAAATAAGGAAAAAGTTGCTCTGCTTTAATAGAGATGAATTACAGACCAGTTTAGCAACAACAGCTCCTCTGCTGATTACTTGCCATGCACCAGGTACTGTGCTTTCCATGTGTGCTGTATGGCAGGTTCTATTTTTCTTTACAGACAAAAAAAATCAAACTTTAGAGAGTTTACATGCAATTAATTCTATGATGCAGAGGAGGGAACTCAAACAAAAATTCAAGTGAGCTGTCTAATAAATGATAACCAGAACAGAACCTCTCGTTTTCCATTTCAGTGCATTTATCCACTAGGCAAAACTTATTCCTGCCTCACTGCTATTCATCTCCCAATCTTTCCTTAAATTAAAGCTCCAAACAGAACTATGAGATGCTTAAGAGACGAAACATTATTGCAAACACCAATAATTTTAAAAGCAACTTAATTTTATTACTTCCAGGACTGTACAGCAAGTGGAACTAGGTTAATGCTGCATGAGTAGGTAAGGATGCTTTGTGATTAACAGATGGACTGTTTTTATGTTTGTCGATAATTGAAAACCGGTTATTCTCTTAAGTGTTTTAAGTACATGGGAGGTGGCTTGGTGTAATGAAGAAAGGCTGGTCTTTGGAGAACCACAGGCCCCATCTGTTCTCCCTTAGACATTTCTTCTTTACCTTATTTATCCATTTATTCCATGCTCCGTCTGAAAGTATATGTGAAGCGTCAGCCCAACCATGTGGACTTGTTCTCAAATTCTAAACTAGTGGTGGGAGTTAATGAGGTTTTGCTATCATGTAACTGGTCTTCCTTGTGAAACTGTAAAATGCAACCCTACTTCTCTTAATGGGTAGCCAGTGTAATTTATGTTCCATCACTTAAATGGTTTCATCCAGAAAGATGTTGGCGAGGGTATGGGGAGAAGGGAACATTCCTACACTGTTGGTGGGACTGTAAATTAGTACCACCACTATGGAAAACAGTATGGAGGTTTCTCAAACAACTACAGCTAGTTCTTCCATATGATCCAAGTTGACTTTCTGAGTGTTTCCTTTTGTGGAATGCCTGAGGTCAGGCTATTGAGTCACAGATTTTCTGAAGGAGAAGCAGTTGCTAGGAGAATTGAGTACAAGGGATCATCAGTTAAATGGTGAGAAAAATCAGAAAAGGACTAAAAATTTTGGGACAGCATGGAGTATATCCAAGCCTTAACATGTGCCAGGAGCAGGGAATACTTGTCAGAGGCAGCATAGAACCATCTCAACAGAGTGGGCCATTAGCTGACCAGGCCCCCAGGTCACTGTGCACTGTGTGCACTCAGAAATGCAGGGCAGTGGCCACCACGAACCCCTTCTCCAATTTGTGAAGGAAAAAAGTGCAACTTTCCCGGAAGGTGTTTGTACATATGTTCAGTCATCCCCTAGGGAGGCACCATCCTTTCTTTCAGGACAAGGAGCATGGAAAACAAATTTTATGAACTGGAACTTGAACAAGGGAATGGGAAATACAACCAGATGTTGGTTGGCTAGGATAGAGGCGGACTGTCCAAACTTCAGATTTCAAAGTCATGTATAAATAGGTTAGAAATGAGCATTAGATTAACCATCCTGCCAAAGTAAATTGGTGCTGTTTATTCTCTTAATTGTATGTGCATTTCAAATCTCAGAGTCCCCATGTTGTCAGTTCTCATTTTCAGTTAAACCTCTTTAAAAGTCCTTTGAAATAATCTTATGGAATTCTTTCAGGATGAAGGCCTTAGAATAAACTTTTTTGTTTGTTTTTTTATAGATTTGCCTGTAAACTTTTTCATTCTAGGTTATTTTTAGTCTTGATGAAATAACTGTTTCCTTCACTGAGTCAGACAAAATTAAGAAGCTCTTCAATTGATCTCCAGCTCTGATTTACTCGTAGTGATTCTAGGATCAAGGCATATTTACTTCAGAACTGTAAGAAACCCATTGCTTCCACCCCGACAAATTAATTGGAAACTCTGGCAATAGTAATAAGAATATCTTCACACATAACCTTCCCTATGTCTTTAATTTTAAAGGCTTTGTTTTGTTACTGGAGAAAAATAAGATAATTTATATGAAATAGCTGACATTCTATGTTAAATTTTTTCACAAGCCACAAAACTTACGCATTTTGAGTTTCCTTCCTTCCTTCCTTCCTTCCTTCCTTCCTTCCTTCCTTCCTTCCTTCTTTGATTGAATAATCTCTTTTTCCCACTGGGAAATTCGAGGCACCAAAAAATGTCATTAACAGATGACTGGCATGTTGAATATATCACAGAAAAGAACCTTTCATTATAGTTTTGTTGACAAAATTTAAATGCTAGATTCAGATAGCTATAAAAAGTAAGAACAGATTTGAAAAGAAGTAATACCACCCATTACAAGATTTTTACCTTCATGGAAATAAGATTTATTGAAATAAAATAATAAATAAAAATACTTTCTGGCTTGGGAGAATCAACCTAGTTTCTGATACTTTTCTGTTTCCCTTGCTCCCAAAGTGTCATCAATCTCTGTTTAGATGCAATGTAGCCAGGTGTTCAAAATCACAGGGGGAAAAAGAATTAGTTTTTTGTTGAACAGAGGAAATTTAAAAAAAAAAAAAAGACTAGGTTGATGTAAACAGGGCTTAAAAATGTAAAAAATGTAGGCCCACTGAACTGAACCCTTTTTTTTTTCCCCTCCCTGTCCCCAGGAATAATTCTGCTCCATGGCTGACTTCAAGGATGTGAATTGTTGACCTCATCCCAACATCAAGAACCTCAGATGTTATTCTAATTTTTGCACCATTCCAGGCAGGTTGACTTTATATGGAAATAAAATTGAACCTTAGGGGTCTGATGGAAATTCACTGTGACTTTCGAATCAAGAAAATGTGCTGAAACCCACAGAACCTTTTCCCCATGGGCCCTGATGGTAGCCTCCAGAAGGAGCAGCCTCAGGTGGTCCCACTTCTTCTGTGGCGAGAATAAACTTTGGGTCTTCGATTGCAACACCACCTGTGGAGAAAATGGTATGCGAGGGAAAGCGACCAGCCTCTTGCCCTTGTTTCTTCCTCTTGACCGCCAAGTTCTACTGGATCCTCACAATGATGCAAAGAACTCACAGCCAAGAGTATGCCCATTCCATACGAATGGATGGGGACATCATTTTGGGGGGTCTCTTCCCTGTCCATGCAAAGGGAGAGAGAGGGGTGCCTTGTGGGGAGCTGAAGAAGGAAAAGGGGATCCACAGACTTGAGGCCATGCTTTATGCAATTGACCAGATTAACAAGGACCCCGATCTCCTCTCCAATATCACTCTGGGTGTCCGGATCCTTGACACGTGCTCCAGGGACACCTATGCTTTGGAACAGTCACTAACCTTCGTGCAGGCGTTAATAGAGAAAGATGCTTCTGATGTGAAGTGTGCTAATGGAGATCCACCCATTTTCACCAAGCCCGACAAGATTTCTGGCGTAATAGGTGCTGCAGCAAGCTCCGTGTCCATCATGGTTGCTAACATTTTAAGACTTTTTAAGGTAGGTAGAGGCATTGTCTTTCTGACCGTTGTGAAAGGACAATGAATTGCTGTGACTCCAACCACAGGTTTGAGAAGAAAGTGAAGATGGTGAAGTTGGGGCCGGCCCGGTGGCGCACTGCTACAGTGAGCCGCTTGGGAAGTGTGGCGGCGCTCCCGCCGAGGGTTCAGATCCCACATACAGACCGGCTGCTCACTGGCTAAGCAAGGTGCGGGAGCAACACCGAGGGTTGCGATCCCGTTGCCGGTCCTGGTCCGGTACGGGTGCGACACTGCGGGTTGCGATCTGTTGCCGGTCACGAAAAAAAAAAAAAAAAAAAAAGATGGTGAAGTTGCTCATAGACTGTTCTGTGTCACCAGCTTCCTGAAATGAGGCATTTTGTGTCTGGGTTTCTACGTGTATTGCTTTAGTTCCAATGTTTACAATTAATTGGATTACTTGTGGCTCTGTTTTTCCCCAAAGAGAAATGTGTTAAGTTCTGTGACATATTGGGTCCTTGCCATCTTGGGATAGCTTCCTTATTGAGGTTCATTTTAAATTACAGCAAGCATTTTTAAAGAGAATAATGAACTCTCAGCACGTTTATCATACAAAACATTTCTATGGTACTTGAGGTATAAGATAATTTACTTGGTGAATCTTCTTTAAGGTGGGATGCTCTGTTATGACAAAAGTTCCTGTGTGAAGAAACAGTGTTTATTTCTAATGTGTGGATGGGAGTGACATTCTGGGAGATAGGATGGCCATAAAATTGTCGGGCTTATTACAACTACAATAGAGAGGAACCTCATTAATTCAGACTGCTCTGATGTAGACTTGTAATAATTACGTATAATTCTTATTGAGTTAAAAGTTCAAATTTAGCAGGCTAAGTCAGGACCTTTTGCTTTAGGGTATAATGATCTATTACCTATACATTGCATTTATATATTGAATAAAATTGGCAATATGAAATAATACATGTAAAAACACTTTGAAAAGTATAGAGTCGTAAAAAGAAAGTTATTGTAAGTCACCATTTTCATTAACTTTATCATTTTATTTATTAACATCTATTAAGTGGTCATTTTTAATAGATATAACTTTTTAAAATTGAAAATCCTTTTCACTTTGATTTCTTACTCAGTGGGACATGACTTTTCCAACTTAATCTGAATTAATGAGGCTTCACTTTGAATTGTGAAAAACTATTCCTATGCCTATTTGATTTAAAAAAAAATTTTTTAAATGACCGGTAAGGGAATCTTAACCCTTGACTTGGTGTTATCAGCAGCACACTCTCCCAAGTGAGCCACGGGCTGGACCTTGGATTTAAAAATTTTAAAAGAACATAGAGAAGTTGGACAGATGACAGATATAGTGACAAAAATTAACAAAGTGATGGAAAACTTCACAAAAAAGATGGAAGGAATTGAATCAAAGACTTTCTGGTTTGGAGGATATCTTGGGGGCCCATCTAGTCCAGCCTACCTGTCATGCTTTTGGCTGGCACCAGGTGACAGGAAGGAGGTGGGATCTGTAGGAATTATGATGGAATTGACGGGAACCAGAATTAGTGTCTAAAGGGAGAGTAACAGAAGGACGAAGATCCTCATGAAGGTTTTCCTATTCTCTAAAATTGGGTCTTTTTGAGCCACAGTTGCTAAGAACAGAAAAGAGATGCTTTGGAGCAGGTGAGGAGGGAGGTCAATCAGGAGAGAAAAGTTGGGGAAGTGGCTGAGCTGGACACCACCCCAGAGCAGAAAATGCCATGTGGCCCATAATTGGGACTGCTAGGAGGAATCCTAGATCCCAGGATGTGGGAGGAAACCTGGAGAATCCCGGTTCCGCATCTTGCCTCCAGGCAAGGAGTCAGCCTAACCCAAGAGAAATCATTAACAACTGCCCAGATTCCCTTTGTAACATCCTCTCTGTAATATCCCCTGAGTGGCTTTGCTGCTGCCGTATGGATTCTCTTAGTTTAGAGGAGAGAATAATAAGCGGCAGCTTAATGGCTATTTTCAGATTGATGAAATATTCAGAAATGAGGAGGATGCTGAGCAGAAGCTCTCTGTGTTTAAGGAATACTGAAGAGGCACAAACAGACTTCAGGGAGTGCTGGAGACATTAAGCAGGAAATTGGCAATGAGAAGGACACAAGATTAAAATAGAAGCCAAAGGTGCTCTAGTTCTTCATCTCTGGAAACCTTCAGGGTAAACTAGGTACAGACACCCCCCCCCCCCAATATGTCATATATATAGGCTAACATGGGGCAGAGTGGTCACCTGTGTGATTGTTTAACCCCTATAGCAAGTTAATGGCTTTAGATAACAGTAGTACCAATTAGGATAATGTGACATGTAACAGCAGAATAGCAAACCCAGAATGCTTCCACCTTATACAAAGGTGTACAAGGCATCTCAGGGGCTCCTGTGTTGCAGAGAGCACAATGAAAACAGGGGTCCAGCTCTCAGTTAGAGATTGTGTCATTTGAAAAGAATTGAAAAATAATGAGGGGGCCTTTTGGACACGTTGAGTGGGAAGCACATAAATTTGTTTTAGAAAGCTATTTCAAGGAATTTGCATATGTTTTATAAAGAGCTTTAGTGTTTTTCCTTTTCTAGAACATTTTCACCCTTCTCCTTTAAATTAGAGTAAATCTATTCCTCAAAACACTAATCATATGTCTTACTTTGAGCAACGACTGAACATTCTAAGTTAAAAATAGCACATTGATGCTGGAGGTAACGCACATTAATGTCCACAAGGATGCACTGGGTTATAACAGGACAGCATCAGATACGATTTCTCTCTCTTATTTTTCTAGTTAACTTTACCTGGATTGTTAACTTTTTCCTCTCGAAGGACAAGGGTTATTGAATCTGTACTGTATCCTTCCCAAAGCAATCAAATGAGACTCTTAACTAGGAATCCATCTGTGGGTGGGCTAGATAATTTCTCCCCATGTGAAAGTGTGCTGCTTATAAATGGTTAAAATTGATCTTCATGTTAAGTGATTACAGAGCAGCATCCCCTTTTCCTGGAAGTCTTCACTTGCCCTGCTATGTCTACAAAGGTATACTTTCTTCCAAGATACTCTACCAATTGAAGCAACCAATTCCATTTTGCGAGTTATTTATTGCATACAGTGGGCTTTATTCAGTGTAAAGTATAAAAAGGTAAATCTGCCATATCCAGGCTCAACTAGTTAGATGGACAGATAAATGAGCGCAATCAATAAACCCAGCAGGTGGTAACATTTCATGTTAAATCTTATTTGATGGCAAACAGGTAATGGAAAATTGAAAGACAGACTCCTCCAGTCAATCCTTTGGTACTGCAGCATGCTTTAGTTTAATTTTGAAAAGAGCCCACTCACCTTAGTTGAGAGATGACAGGTCCTTTCTCTTATAGTGACCCAAAGTGGTGGCATTGAGTGAGAATGGGCACTATCCATGGCAATGGGCACTTAAACTCAGGGCCAGAGAGATCTATCAAAAATGCAGACCTGGTAATTTCTCTTCCCTTCTTAAAACTCTTTAATGGCTACCATTACCCCAGGTTGAAGGTCCACTTCTACTTTTGGAAGACTTCTCACTTTCCTTGGCTAGATTAAGTTTCTTTGTTACATGTAACAAAGAAGCAGCCTGTACTTCCTCTTCTTAGCATTTATCCTACTCTACTGTAGTTGTTTGTTTATTTCTGTGTATACCCCACGAGACCATAAGCACTGTGAGGGCAGGATCCATGTATATCTAGTGTGTTGCTGTATTCCTAGCATCTAGCATGGACCTATCTCGGAACCCAATAAATATTTGTTGAATGAATGAATGAGTGAATGAATGAACCGTATCTCTGTACTGCCTCCTTCATCTCAGTTTCAACTATTGGAAATAATATGTGTTGGGCTGATAGGACAGACATAGAATTTTGTTTATTTTACTTATATTTTCTTTTAGAAAAAGGAGCAGAAGGAAGGAGAAGGAGAGAGAGAAGGAAGCAGGCATATTTGGGGAGTTCCGATTTTCATGTGCTTTTTCATTTTCATGCAAATTCCCATTTTTTCTAAGCAGATTTTTAAAATTAAAAATTTTCATTGTATATTTCAAAATTGCTAAAAGACTAGATTTTAAATGTTTTCACCGCAAAAACATAAGTATGTGAGGTGATAGATTGGTTAATCAGCCTGATTTAATCATTCGATATTATAAACATATATTAAACCATCACACTGTACCAACTATTATTTGTTAATTAAAAATAAAATCAAAAAATTAAGTCAATAACATACACGAGCACATTCTCATTTTGAAAAGTTTAAGCAAAGAATAAGTAAATAGTGTAAAATGAAGCGTCCACTTTCAAACACAGATCTATTAATACGATGACACATACACACAATTTTAATAATAAATATGTGTGTTATGACTTTCTTTCTCACTTCGTAATACATCTGGGAGAGATTTCCATGTTGGATAATATAGGTCTGCTTCAGTAATTCTCAGCCCTGGCTGCATGTTAGCATTATCTGGATAGCTTTTAAAAAATATGGATGGCCAAACCCTATCTATGCACAATGAAAATGGGGAGGAGCCCTGCACTGGTATGTTTTAAAAGGTTGCCAGGGGATTCTGATGTTTGTCCAGGATTGAGAACTATAAAACTTTATTTTCTAAATGGTTGCTTGGTTTTTAATTTTATGGATAGACCATAATTTATTTTTCAAATCCCTGATTGACAGGTTACTTCCCTTTGATTTCTTAAGATCTTTTGTCATTTGAAGAACAGCTCAAACATGCTACAGCCTCATCTAAACACTGTTATCTCTAGAGTCGATTTTGATTTCATAGAGCCCTTTCTTGGACCAACACACGGGCCGAATTAATGAATTACCAAAAACACCTTGCTATAAGGCAGGCCTACATGACACAGTAATACATCACAGGCCACGGCTGTTCATAATGTGTAGCAACATGGGGAATCATTATAGTGGTCATGTGCTCAGACTGTTAAAAGAGCA